TATTTTTATTATATGTGGTGCTGAGGATCGACCCAGTGCCCCACACGTGCTAAGTGAGCACTGGACTGCTGAGTCGTAACCCCAGTCCTTTTGAAGAGTTCAGTGGCATTTAATCATTAGCGAAGGACTGTTTTGGCAAAAGGAATCCTTTGTTTATCATTGATCTACACACACATATTCAATATTTTTGCATTCATCCATTATGTGTTTTGTTTTTAATTAAACCACTAAGTGGATTTCGCTTAGGTGAGTCATGAAAGATTTGCCTGGATTTCATAATCAAGTATTGAATGATTTTTAAAATAAGCCTATCTGATCTAAAACTTGAAAGTTCAATGTTTAAGAAGTAACCTTTGTAAAGGAAGAGAAATATTAGGTGGTTGATAAAGGAAAAATAATTGTCTACATAATCTTTCTCTGAGTTAGATGCAGAGGCTTTCTAAAGAGCTTTTTGAATCATTGTGACATCTGCCAGCTTTTTCAATGATTCTACTTTCTAAACATTATGACTTTTTTTTTGTAATGAAATTCAACTGTTTCTTAGTAACTGAAAAAATGAATATTGATAAACACAAAATGTCTTTGCAAATATTAATATGTGATATTGCCTATATTGTATGTACGTGGTAGATTTTACTCAGCCTGTGGAGAACTCGTTTATGAAGTTAGAACAAATATTCATTTCTGTAAGTCTCAAAGAGCACAAATGTCTTAGAGATTAATGTTGAACTCTGCAGTTACTCATTGGTGAAAAGTGGATATCCTATAACAAATAGCGTAACATTAGGTAAGAAATCAGACTTATTTTATAGATGTGGCTGGGCATCACAGACGTTATTGCTTGACAATTTTAGATCAGGCTGATAGTTGAAAATTGAAGATTCAAGAATTTGTACTATATATAAGACAATTCAGTCAGTAAGAATAGAAGTCTATTATGTAAGCAAGAACAATGACACATAGTTCAATCAGTAGGAAGAATAAAATAACATTAGTAAAATCAGTGGTTTAATTTGGAACATTATTTTACATTACATTTAGCTCATGTGAATCCAATGATGAATTCCTATAGCACATTTATAGTTCCACTTTTAAATTCTCTTTTTCTAACCCTGGATTTAACAAACAATATATAGCAAAATGCTCCATATATTACACAGTAGATGTCCTTAATTGTTTCCCTGTTCTTTCCAAGCTGGAATAATCACATATTATATGCTCTCATAGGTTATTATAACTATGTAATTTATCTGTAGTCTTTAAGTTGCTATATTTGGCTAATAACAAAAAATACCTAATGATGTTTGAATTTCAAATCAATTTTTAATTTTATTAATTTTTTTTTTGATACCAAGAGTTGAACCCAGGGGCACTTAACCCCTGAGCCACATCTACAGCCCTTTTTATGTTTTATTTTGAATCGGAGTCTTGCTGAGTTACTTAGGGCCTTGCTAAGTTGCCAAGGCAGGCTTTGAACTTCTGTTCCTCTTGCCTCAGCCTCCTGAGTCACAGGGATTACAGGCATGTGCTCCCACACCCAGCTTATTTAATTTTTTTTTCCTATTGTATCTTTTAAGTATTTTTGTTTTTTTATTTTTAAATACATTTAAAATTTTTCAGTGTACATATGACCCATGCAGTGTTTGGGATATACTAAAAATTGTCATTTTTTTTTTAAAGAGAGAGAGAGAATTTTTTTTTAATATTTATTTTTTAGTTTTCGGTGGACACAACATCTTTGTTTGTATGTGGTGCTGAGGATCAAACCTGGGCCGCACGCATGCTAGGCGAGCGCGCTACCGCTTGAGCCACATCCCCAGCCCCTGTCATTGTTTTTCTAAAATTAAAATTGTATTGTGCATCTTAGATTTAATCTGGCAGGTCTTGTAGTTTACTCTTCATACCTGTACCTTCCAAAGTTTTAGAAGAGCAGATTTCTGTTTTTCTCATGCTTATATCTCCAGTGTTTACACAGGGCTTAGCCCTTAGTAGGTATTTAATACTGATTGTCTTCCTAAAAGGAAGGTTATTAAAATATTTTAATTATAAATAAATGCAGGTAAAGTTCGAAAAGCAGTTCTTGTCATTGGAACTTTTCCAAGTGTACCATCCTTACATGGCAAATTTAAGTCAGCTAAAGCAGATAAATAAAGGGGGGAAATTTATTTTTTGAGATGGGGGTCTCACTGGCCTCCAACATTCCAATCCTTTTATCTCAGCTTCTAGAGTAGCTGGGATTATAGGTGAGTGCCATTGTGCCTGGCTCAGAGAAACTCCTTTTTAAAGAGAGATTCCGAGCAACTACTTCTAGTTAAATTTACTTTCAAGCTTTTAATTCTCAGTTAATGTTTTTTTTGTTTTTTTTTTTTCCCAAAGGCAATTATCATACAAAGCAAGTTAGTCTTGTATTTCCATTATGGAAGACTGCAGCTAATCTTTTCTACTGGTATCTAAAATTAAAAAAGTCTGGACAGAAAAGGCAGGGGATATTTCCAAGCCATATATGGTGACAGTGGCATAAACCTGGAAATCTTTATCATCCCATCTTATTGAACTTCCACAAATATTCTGCTGTATATTAGAAAGAGCAAAACAAGTTAATCTTGGGAGGCTTTGTCAGGAGTCAGTGTCTTAAGTGTACTCATTGTAACATTTAGCAAATCAACTGCCACGCAGGGCTCACATAGGTGAGTTGTGGAAGTTTACAAAACAGGGGAAAAAATGGCTTGAAAAATAAAATCAAACTCTGTGTTTTATACGCTGAGGATGTTAATCTGGGTCAGTTACCAGTGCCTGCAAAGCAGGGCCTCTCATCTTGGCTTGGACAGCACCCTACAGCAGTGTTTTATGGTGTGAGTAGACAAGGCTCTGGAGTCCAAGGTTTCAGTCTAGGGTCTATTGTGACAATCTGCACCTTGACACTCTGGTTCTAAAAGGGAGAGATGGTCAATACACACTGAGAACATTGATAAATATGTAGCCAATCTTTAAGGCTCTTTGCTTGACCTGGGGAAGTTGAATGCCTTCCTGTGAAGTCACCATCGTAGCACAGATGAATTGTGCTGGGTTCACAGGTGAATTCTCTTCTGTCATTACCACTGCTTCACGTCCACCCTCCCAGGTGAACAGCTCCTGTTGGGATAAGAGGGAGTCCTCCAGGAGAGGAGGTAGCTGGAAGCAGTTGGGAGCTAACTATCATAGCAGCTAGGGAAAAAGGCTTCAAGCCTCATAATTACATGTATTATATATAATTGGAGGTTATAAATTGTGCCACTAATAATGTATGAAGAATCACATCATGAATTTTGATTTCAAGATTTAGAAGTATTTTTTTAGAAAACAGCATGCAGATTCATTTGAAATGATCCAATAATAGAAGACAAAATTTAATTACATGACAGAATTTATGATACAATTTTAAATTTTGGGAGACTTCAGAAAATGGTAAGTCCAGTGAGAATTCAGAATTTCAGGGGAAGAATGTGTTTCGGTTTGGTATTGAAAGATAAGCCTTGAATACATAGTATAGTCAGATCACAAAATAAGACTTTGGAGGTGGTCATTACCCTAAATGGTGAATTCTGTTGGTGGAACTTCGTTGGCTGGAACTCACAGTCATTATTTTTTTTTGAATTTTAATATTTATTTTTTAGTATTTGGCGGACACAACATCTTTGTATGTGGTGCTGAGGATCGAACCCGGGCCGCACGCATGCCAGGCGAGCGCGCTACCTCTTGAGCCACATCCCCGGCCCCCACAGTCATTATTTTGAAATAAGATAAAGCCAGAATGAGAGTGCTTTGAGTATCTTCTTTCCAAACACCCTTTCCAATTACAACTGTTTCAGTTTTTTTTTTTGGCTGCTCATATGTTCTCTATTAAATTTTTATAAAGATCCATAAATGCAAATTTTTGTTTGATTTTTTTTTAAATCATAATTTTCAAACTCTACATAACTATTCAACTATTTGTACTAATTAGGTAAACTTTTGGATTTCTTTCCAAATTCCCTAATTATTCTAAGAGTCAACTCATGCTTTTTATTTAAGTCCATATATCCTGCCAAAAAACAAAACTGGGGGTGTAGCATGCTCAGCATGACTGAGGCCCTGGATCCAATCCCTGGCCCCAAACCAAACCTATGCTGGAGGCAGAGATACTTCAGCTCACATCTTGGAGATATGACCATTTGCAAGTTACTTCACTTCTTTGTTTCTTATCTGAAAGAGAGCATGTCCAGCATGGCATGATGGGGCATGCCTGGAATCCCAGCAACTTGGGAAGCCGAAGCAGGAGGATTGCAAGTTCAAGATCAACCTCAGCAACTTAGATTCTTCCTCAAAATAAAAAGTAAAAAGGGATAGGGATGTGGCCCGGTGGCAAAGTACCCCTGGGTTAAATCCCCAGTCTCCTCTCCCCAAAAGGCATGTCCATATATCTGACAGGGTTTCTGTGATATTTATACACAATACTTGTAAAATGCAGTAAGTTCTCAATAAATAAGTGAGAACAGGACAGAGCCAATGGTTGGCATTGAAATGAGAGTTGTTAGCATCATTGACATATTTGACATAGCATAAGTGAAAAGCAATACAGTTAAGAGTCCAATTTCTGAAATTGTACTTCCTGTGTTCAAATCTGGGCTCTGGCACTTATCTCGGTGATTTTGAATGTGTACCTTATTCTCTTCTTGCACAAAAATGGAGATAGTTTTAATGTTCACCTCAGCATTGTTTTAAGGACAAGTTGATAAGTATAATGAGCTTACTGCCTTGCCTGCATGTGGTAAGTACTTTATAGACATTATCTGTTGTTGTTTTCTGGACAATTGAGCATCAAAGTTAAATGCACTGGAAGTTGTTTAGAACAGTTTAACATTTTGTCATGATGTCCTCCCAAGTCCACTTGAGAATAAGTAGCCTATTGCTGGATAATAGTTAAGACAATGTTAACTTTTAAAAATGTGTCTACTTTTGCCCATACTTTAGGCACTTCTATCCAATTGGTGGAGAGCCAAGGATGACTTCTGCAAAGAAGGTAACTGAGAAGCGGCATAACCCAGTGGAAAGCATTTGCAGAAAAATCAGAGCCATTCAAAAAGGAGACGCAATTTCAAATCCGATTCGACAAATTATCAAATACCAGTCTAGCAGTTTTGATAGTCCACAGACTAATGCCAAGAAAACCTTTGAGGAGGTGCTGAGGAAGATGACTGCTGCTCACATTCCTGTGCGGGACTCTCGTTTTTCAAGTTCTGAGAAAGTGGCTGCCTTCATTTCATCCCCTGAAATAGCATCTGCAAGAACCCCATCCATCTCTCACCTGTACTCTCCCCAGAATGCCACATACACTGTTGGTCTCACTAGTTCTGAAAACATCGTAAGGCTGAGATCACAGAACAACCAGTGTGATACATCTTTGATACCACAGATCCGAGCAGGGGATGTCTTCTCTACCAAGGACTGGAATAACTACTGTAGTGGAAATAACAATTGTACCTTAATGCTTGACCATGATTCTGCCTCTACTCAAAGCTCTCAGTTTTTTACTAAGGATTCAGTGGTGAGAAAATTATCTCTGAATGATGATGGTAAATAATCATTTTTTTAATGTGTGTTTTTCCAGTGAAACAAAAATCACATCTGCTTTTAGAATATCTGAACTTAAAACCAATATACATTATTAAAGTTTAAATGGATGCATCTATCTTTTTCTAAGTATGTTTGTGTCTATCCCCCACCTTAAAAGAAAGTCTTATGTGTGAAATCTATTTTACATGCTTCTGATTAAAATCTGAATAGAAATTCTGGATTGCATTTACAATCATATCATTTGGCATTTCTCTACTGACCTGGAAATCAACTTGAATGCCAAATTAGAATGTCATGAATATACAGATATAGTGGACTTAAAATTCATATAATCCCTAGATATCTTGCTGAAAGAACTCTTCATATTTGTTTGCATAACAGCAAAACAACTATGTAAGAATATATGGGTTCTATTTCAGGAGCAAAGGAGGTAGGCCAGGGAAGATGTTAATTTTTCAGGCCAATGGAGATTTAGAAAACTACTTAAGAGATTGTTTAAAACAGTTTCTTATATAATAAGATCTGAAAAACAAAATGTAAAATTGTACGTAATCTGTATAGTTTCTTCTTTCCCTTTGTTTTTCTTATAAATCTATGTCCTACTAGTTGCTTTTTCATAAGGTACTTTCATTGTAAAGCAAAAAAACTTCATTTCCTTCTCCATATCTCTTATTCCTCCTTTTAAAAATTTATAAATAAAAAGGAAAAAATAGAGGGAGACCTTTTAAGACTACTTTATTTACTTCCTTATGATTCTGTCATGGAACTTGGGGAGTTGTGCATCTTGGGCTACATCCCCAGCCCTCAAGACCACTTTTTTGATGGGTTCATTCAAGACAAGTAATCAGTATTATAGGCTTCTGTTTATTAAAATAAGCTTTCTTTTGCTAAAATTAAATACCCCAAATGAGAAATGAATAACTTGTAGCACAGATAAGCACCTGAATTTGTATTTTTTCTTCTGATAGGATGGAAACCAGGAGCTGATGATGGCCAAGATGTAATGCACAGCACCAGTAAGGTCTGGGAGGAACAGTTACTCACAGGAATCTTCCATGCATGTGACACAAAATGCAGAGGTAAGTTGAAAACTATCTGCTTAAATGTTCAGGAGTACTCGTCATGTCACCTGTGCTTTATTTTGCAAGAGAAAGGGAAATGGTTTGCGTGGGGGACGCTCTGTCCCCATGTCCACACACATGGTGGATGCTGCCTAACTTGGGAGTAAGATTGGTTGTTCAGGTCTTGATTTTCTTTATGATTTCTTTAGTACCTCTTTTGCTTATTTTTTTAAAATATATCTTTATTTTATTTATTTATGTGGTGCCAAGGATCCAACACAGTGCCTCACACATGCCAAGGCAAGCACTCTACTGCTGAGCCACAACCCCAACCCCTCTCTTGCTTATTTTAACAGTGACTTAGATGGTTTCATTGAGTTTACCAGCTGAATTATCAATTCTAAGCATTGCTTGGAACTACTTACATGTCATAGGAGTTGTCTTACAAGAAATCCTATACTTCAGTATATAAAACCATTATACAAGTTTAGGTCAAAACTTAGCTTTATATTTTTGTTTCATTTTGAGATGTGTTCTTTTAAAATTTTCTGCAACTGATTTTTTAGCATGTAAATATTCATGAGCATTGTAATAAAATTAATGTATTGGTAAATAAATAGGGGAGAAGTAATCAGTAATCACTTTCCCCTGAGTAACCATTTAATGATTTCTTATAAGTCTTTTCACAATTTCCTCTGTTGATAACTTCAGATTAATTTTTAAAAATTATGGAACACTTCAAATATATATAGGAGTGGAGAGAACAGTATAAAAACTGCCTATATATGTGTCTACCAGTTATGTTTCATTCCTAATCCCACCTGTTTTCTTTTATTCTGGATTATTTTGAGGCAAATATCAGACATTACATTATTTTATTTGCAAATATTAAAGTAACTAAAATGTAACTGATTCTAGATAGAACTACAGTGCCATTATTATGACTAACATAACTTTATTATCAAATATTTTGTCAGTATTCAAAACTTCTCATTCGTGTGAAAAGTATCTTTTTAAACAAAAGTTTTATTGTTCAAATCAATATCCAAGAAAGGTCTCTTTTTTGTCTGCCTAATATGGGCATTCTCTCTTCTTGCTTTTTAAGTTATTAAGTAAAATGACTATTCTGTTTGGTAGAGTTTTCTACAACCTAAAATTTGGTGATCATATATCTATAGGAACACTTAATTTATTTCCTCTATCCTATAGTTAGAGGTTTGAGCAGATAAAAGTTCAAGGTTTTGTGTTTTGATTTTTGGGAGGCAACAGCAAATGGTGACGCTCCATCATTCCATCCTAATTTATCAGGTGCAATGCATTTATAATGAGAAACTCTGCCCTGTTTCATTAACTTTTTAGCCAGCCTCATCTGTGCCCTGAAGAAGCAGGATAAACCTACCAGTTTTCAAAATGCAAATAGTGACCGATAAAGGTCACTCATAATTTTGTTGTTGTTGTTTAATTCATCATTTCAGCATATTTGATGTTTTATCCATTGTAAGTTTTGTTACTGATGCTTATTTCAAAAGTCTTTTTAGATATACATGACTGCAGAGTATATTTTGACATATTCAAACATGAAGTCTATCTTATTCTCATTGGGATCCCAGTCTTGTGGTTGTACAGGATGTGGAGATTCATTGAGGTATATTCATATGTATACTGAAGCATATATATGTATATAATATATACACACACATACATATATGTACATAGGAAAGTTGTATCATATTCATTCCACTGCCTTTACTTTTCCTATCCCTCTAATCTTCTTATTAATGTCCATCATTGGACAATGGAAATCTCATGTTGATTACAGTGTCATTTGTGGGGGTAACTTTTCATTTTGATATAATTTCAAACTACAGAAAAGTATGAATAATTTGCACGTGCTCTCTATCCAGATTCACCAATCATTTTCATTTTGTCTCATTTGCTTTATTATTACTGTATTTCTATTTTCTGAACCCCTTGGGAGCAATTTGCAGATATGTATATTTTTTTACCCCAGTACATCAATATGGGTTTTCTATAGACAAGGGCATTTGCTTAGATGACCACAGTACATTTATCAAAGTCAGGATGTATATTTAACAGTGATACAATACTATTAGCTAATTCACAATTCTATATTCAAATGCCATCAGTTGCTCAATAGAATAAGCCATAGTCCTGGGTCCAATCCAGAATCACACCTTGTATTTAGTTGTCCTGTCTCTTTAGTGTCCTTTAATCTGGGATAGTTCCTTAGATTGTCTTTTATGACCTTAAAATGAAGAGTGGGGCCAGTGACTGTAGAAAGTCTGGTATTGGTATATTTAATCAAGAATTTGAGGCAAGTTATTCATTTTGTCAGGCATTCTAGAAGTGATGTTCTGTTCTTTCAGCACAATATGTCAGGATTTTAAAAACTTTGATTTCTTAGTTATTATGTTGTCTGTCTGGTTTCTCTGTTGTATAAAGTTATTTGTCCTTTGTACTTAATAAGTATTATATTGGAAGATACATTGAGTCTATGTAAATATTCTGTTCCTCATCAAACTTACACTCAGTAATTTTAACACTGATATTTCTTGTCTGAATCAATTATTATTATGATGGTTACCAAACAAATTTTTCTTTCTCCATAATTTTTTCTATGTTTATTATTTCTCAATCTACCACAAGAGTTTTACCTTCTCACTAATTAATTGGTATCATTAGGAATTCCTGGATTCTTATATGAAGTCATTTGTAATGCTACTGTCATTATTTGTCTTGATGCTCAAATTGTCCCAGAGTTAGCCAGCAAAATACTCTTCAAGCTGGCTCCTTTGTCTGAAAGGTCCCTGTCTTTTTAAGAGAATATTTTTTAGCTCTTTCAGGTAGAAAAACTTTGACATGTGCCCTTCCTCATTTTTCTTGGCATTATAAAATTCTCAGGCTTATCTTGTACATTTCCTGCTCCAGCCTTGGGATCAGTTATTTCTTCAAGGATCATGAAACCTTTTCATGGGAAATGTTCTGTATAGACCACTCTCTAGGGAAAAGGAGCAGTGGTTGTTTCTAGGCCTTCACAATAATTAGAAGTAGGATGCATTTAAATTTTTAAAAGATGATATATGTTGCATTCATGGTCTTTCTTCCAGTGCAAATTCAGGATAACCGAATTTTACTCATCTCTTCTCTCTCTGTATCTCCTTTCTTAGAGGGAAATCTTGATTCTCGATGTCACTAATGAAACTCAATGTAAATGTTCATTTGCTTATTTTAATCACATGCATTAGTTTCAAAATAATACCCCCGAATAATACCCAAACTATTATCAATTCTCATAACTGACTATTGTACTAGTTCTTCATAGCTGACTTTCCATGGAATGATGCAATTCATTCCTTCACAACTTCTGTGGCTCACTCTAGGCATAGCCTAGCTGACTCTGTTGTGACAGAGCTCCCAGGGCTATCAGGTGCTGCTTGGGCCACTTATCTCATCTGTGGCTTACTTTGGGAAGATTGAGGGCTTCCATTACTTGCTGCTGTCAGCTGGAATCCTCCCTCAATTCCTGGCCACTTCTGTCTTTCAACATAGTGGGCCATAACATGGCAAGGGAGCGAGTGACTCCAGCCAGACAGGCATTGCAGTCTTGGAACATAATCATGCAATCCTATGCTTGTATGTTCTATCACCCTTGCCATATTCTATTGATTAGAAGCAATCCACAGGCCACTCCCACACTCTAGAGAGGAGTCACAAACATCAGAAGGTGGGATCATGAGGGTGCCCTAGAATTTTTTCATCTTACTACCACAGTTGAAAATGATCTAAGATTTTTTTTTTAAATTAAGATATACTGTGGGGTCGGGGTGTGGCTTAGTGGTAGAGCTTATGCTTAGCATGCTTAAAGGCCTGAGTTCAATCTCCAGGCCTCTCTCAAAAAGAGATAGACTACCATATTGCCTAAGTATGTTTGGGAATGTCTCCAGACTTGTTTTATAATCTGATATTTCTCACTTAACATTTTTGAGTGCTTGTTGGCATCAACAGTTTCTTCTTTTTCCATATAGTATAAGATATCTGGGTAAATAACTGAATTTTATTGATGTTTTATTAAAGTATAGTAATTATGCACATTGGTGGGGTTTGGTGTGGTATTTCCATTCATGCATACAACATGCTCTGATCAAATCCAACTCTTTTTCTACCCCCCAATCACTCTTCCCAAATCAAATAATCACTATTTTCAGGTCAACTCTTTTTAGCTTCCACCTGTAAGACAAAACATGTGCTACTTGTCTTTCTATGTCTGGCTTATTTGACTTAACATAATCTACTCCAGTTCTATTCAACTTGCTATAAAAGTCAGGATTTTGTTGCTCTTTATAACAATAATACTCCATTATGCGTATGTACCACATTTTCTTTATTCATGCATCTGTTGATACACATCTAGACTGATTCCTTACTTTGGGTATTGTGAATAGTGCTACACTAAACACGAGCTTCAGGTAGTCTTTGGTGGCTAATTTATAGCTGGCTCATATGGCAGATATATGTTTAGGCTTTTGAGGAACTTTCATACTGTTTTCTAAAATGACTATATTAATTTACCTTTCCACCAACAGTGTATGAGTTCCTTTTTGTTTACATCCTTGCCAGCAAATTTTTTTTCATGATAGGCATTTTAACTGGGGTGAGATAATATCTCATTGTAGTTTTGATTTGCATCTCTCATAGCTAATCATTGGGACATATTTTCTTGGCCATATGTATTTCTTCTTTTGAGAAGTGTCTGTTCAGATTATTTGCACATTTTTTTAAAGGTTGGATTACTTGTTGAAGCTTTTTGAGTTCCTTATATATTCTGAATGTTAACCCTGTGTCAGATGAATAATTGGCAAATATTTTCACCTATTTTATAGGTTATGTCTTCATTGGATTGATTGGTTGCTGGGCAGGAACTTTTTAGTTTGAAGTAATCTCATTTGTCAAGTTTTGCTTTTATTTCCTATGCTTTTGGGGTCGTATCCAGAAATCAT